CCCCGCCCCCCCCCCCCCCCCAAACCACAAAGGCCCCAACCTGTCAAAAAAGATAAAGAAAGAAAGGAGGCAAAAACTTCACTTACATTTTCACTTATCTTCCGACTTAAGTTGGCCCCCAAGTAAGATAAGTCCCACCGTAGCAAAAGCAGATAAAAGGGTTGATGAATAGGACATTACAAGCAGAACTCCTCGCAGGGACTGCACCAAAAAACTATTTCATAAATACCAACATGGAGACAAATATAAATATGAGTGGTTTTCGAGTTAGTTACCTTAGCAAGCAACAAAGCATTGTCATTTGCATACTGTAAGGAGCTCTCTTGTATGCTCTCTACGCCTTGACTTAATTTCCAAGAAAGTAAACTGTATTCCAAATAGCAGACATGGAATTCTTAAACAACCTTCGATTAAAGATATAGAGGTTGCAGTTCAAAAGAAACAATTACCCAAAGATAAATGCAATGCCAGCTCCAACGTAAGCTTTTCCTGGGGTCAATTCAACCTGAAGCTCCCCAAACTGAAGCAAAATACTCTTAGGATAAAGTGCATCAAACGCAAACTTGCAAAAAAAGTATCAATGCACCATTTAATACCTTAAATGTCCTGGTTTGCGGCTTAGGTTCTTCGCCAGTAATCCCAGATACTGGACTTGCAGACAACACGCTCCCAGTCTTTATCATTACTTTAGCAATCTATAGTGATCAAGTATCAAAATTTAGGAGCAAAGAAATAATTGGAGGTACAAGTAGAGTGCTGTGCAGAATAAATTATATCTGACAACAGTTCTCAGTTATTTCACCCAGTTGCCTTGAAGCGAAGAGATTAATCTGGGTAAAACTTGAGGAACAAGCTGCATGTATAACCCTAGTCTCTTGTGCCAAAGATCTTTTAACCATTACAGACTACTGCCCTAGAATTAAATTAACTCAAAGAAGACCAATGACAATTCATTTTAGCATCATTCATCCAAACTTCAGAACCAATATACGTAAACCAACTAACATATTCCACGCGGGATACACGTATCACCTTGTAGTATGCTTGTCAAGTTTAGCTTTTGTAGTATTTTTACTCCTCTATGCCTAACCTGGCTCTACTCTCTAGTGCCAGTTCTCAGAACTCAAGTTCAGACAACTTGGCTTGTCAGCTTGTTAGGCTTTCTCCTGATTTATGTGACAACCCCAATCCATATTCCACGTGGTAGACAACCAAACCTTTATAAGCCCCTCAAATGAGGGCCACTCATACGTAACCACTGGATGTTTCCCATCATTATCCAGGCTATTAGATCTGAGAGATGCGCTATAATTCTTCAAAGACCCCCATAACATATGTCTTGCTCAGATTACCAAATTCAAAATGTTTATTTTTCCTGAGAGAACTGTGCAACATAGGGTAATATAGAGCGCTACAGGCCGAGGGCATGACCATGGCAATCAGAGCAAGTCCAGGACTTACTTTGACGTTCAAGTATAAGGAGATCATTGACAGAGATGAAACCGTCAGACATGCCAGGGATTGTTACAATAAAAAATAAAAAAAATTGAGAAACTAAGGCGCTACAAAACCGTTATCTAACCAATCCGCTAGATTAACAGATGAAACTACGATAAAAAGCAAACAAGATACAACAGCAAATACAAAAGTAGAAATATATCCTAAAATCTCTTACACCCTCTGTCCTCATCCAAACACTGAACTAAGTCCTTTTCCCATATAAGTGTCCCGCCTCTAACTCATTCACCTCCAAAATAGCACCTGGATGATCAACAACTGATGATTTTAAGGTAAACTTTAATCCCTAAAAAATCAATGTATATGTGGAGAGATCAATCCCTTCGCCATTGGCTAAGAGCCACATACAACCATGAAAACAAAAGGGAGAAAAAGGAAAATATGCAGAGAGATCAACTATGTTTCCTTTGCAGCAGACAAACACAACAACATGAAAAGAAGAGGATAATTCTTTTTCTTATGCCATTTCCAAAAAAAAATCTTATGTAAATGGATGACCTTTACTCCTATATTCATAAGATTTAGGGAATATATTCTTTTAACACTTAAAAAGCTGCATGGAAATTATATAAAGTACCTTCTGTACTTCACCTTCTCCATATTGTCCCATGGACTGGAACCTTCTTCCAGCTGATAACAAGCGCCTTCCAAGTGCTAACTAGTAATAAGAATGAAATTCAGATGGAAAAAGGAATTCAATTTGCTTGCTGAAGTAAGAAGTAAAGCATCATAGTTGTAGGCTCTTTCTTGCCTGCTTTTTGATAGCCTGACAATGAGCCAACCAATAGAGGCAGCTTGTTCACCAAAGCTGTGGATGTTGATGTATCAGCCCGTTCCCATGCCCGGCTTATATTTAACAATGTCTCTCCCACCTCCTCGCCACACTAGAAATGCAAAATTAAACGATCATCTGTAATGTGCTTCTCTCAGTGAGTTTTGCTTTCTTTCATCCTCTATTGTTATAAGGGTGGCTTGATACTTGATAGTTTCAAAATTCAAATTTACATAAAGGGGAACACAATCAGTTAACAACAGCATGTTGGGGGAAAAAAGAAACCATAGCTGAACAAGGGCAAAGATGACTAATCAACTTAATTAAGACCGAAATACAGAAAAAATTCAGTTGGGTGACTACTGAAACTGTTGAAAGTTATTTTATTCTTTTCTGGATATCCCATTGAGGACATCTTTAGAAAAAATAGGAGGTACATTTCTTTTATACCATCAGAAGCATAGTGCATCTTTTATCATCTTACTGTTAATTACATGACAAAAACCATGGTTTTTTTTTCTGTTTTTACATTATGTCCATCAATCCAATCTCAGGTTACTCCAGTGATCAGCAATATTCAGTTTTATGTTCTATTTGACTTTCCAAAAAGGATCCTCTCATAGTTCGCTAACAATAGAATATTGGCAAAAAATGAGGAAGCATATCCAGAGGAACATGTCTGACCATGTGACGAATGGAAAACCCCTGTGAAGATTCATTTCCTGTATTCATCTGAGACGGGAGGTTTTATAGTCATAATGAGCACAAACAATTTTTTAGCAGAAAGTATCCAGCCGTGACTGAACAAAGAAACTTAAGTACACATCTAATAGCTGCTATCAAATCATATAAGACACTTGTTCCATAATGTGAAGATGCCAAATAGAGAACACCTATCCCTTGGATGATTAAAGTTTAAAGCACGGTGAGTAACATCTTAAAAGAGTATCTTTGAATAGTACAACTAGTCAAATCATATTGGTGATCCAGGTTTTATCAGTTTCATGGTTGAGATGTTAAACATTGTAAAGATGTTAAAAAAGAAATAACCAGTATAGGTACTAACCTCAACTTTAATTGGCCCACTTGAAAGATCAAATGCTGCATCGTTCAGCTACACCGTGTTCAAATTTTATTAGTCAGGACTTAAACAAAACAATAAACACCCCACCCCCTTCAACGATGCAAATCAAACCCAAACATCCAGACCTCTAAATGAACCATCTTGAATATTCAAAAGTTACATAAATGACCCTGGGCATAGTAGGAGGCAACAATACCAGACCCAAAGCAACACTGACAGTGACAGAGAAAAAGAAAACTAACCGACCAAAAGTTACAACAAGTATATTGCGACCCGATTTTACTCTGTTGTATTACTCCAACTTGCAATTTTGTTTCCAATGTTATAAGAAAGAAAATTACTAAAGGGCCAAGAGTACTTGAGGCGTATAAAATCATAAAAAAAAGGATCACTGAAGAGCAAAATATGCTTAAGTGTGTGTTGGAACGCTTCTCAAAAGAGTAATAAGTTGCAACTTAGAATGATATATTAGATAATACTATTTATTTGTTCTAGTGATAGAACAAGCCTATTATGGATTATTGAACGTGGAACAATTTCTGATTCAGATAACATAAGGAGGTATTTTGACGGTTGGTACAGTTTCAAAATGTCATAAGCATTCAATAAGCAGATAAATTCACCAGCTACTGTTCAAAATAAAATCAGTTCCAATATTCAAAATGCACTGTACTAAAATATAACTAACTACACACATGAGAAGAAAATATCTTCTCAACTTACATCTAAGCGAAGATCACGAGGAAGCAGGGAAAAATAATCTGCAGGTAGCACAAAACTGTCCTGAAAAAATAAAAGCAAAGGAAAATTAATGAAGGGAAGTATTAGCATAACACTCATGGGTCCCCAATTACAAATACTACTGGATCAAAAATGAAATGAGTGTGGGTCTTACGGCAACGTCTTGCAGAAGAATTTGAGGGTCTGGTTCGAGAGATTTAGAGGAATCTGATTCTGTAACAGCAAAAGGCACTGTTCTTGTACGAGAATCGAATTCGAGGAAATTGTTGCGGGAAGATGGTGTAGGAAGAAGAGTGGAGATATGAAGCGGGCATTTGGTGAAACCAAGAGTAGTAGGAGTTGGAGAAAAACAATGGATATGTTGATGGAGTGAGAAAGAGGAAGCCATTGAAGCAGAAGAAGAGACCGGCAGAGTGGCAAATTTTCAAAACTCGGTTAAATTGGGGGATTTCGTGGTTGTGGTTTAGTTTTGCCGCTTCGCATCTTGCTTCAGCCAATCACATTTCTTGGATTTCATCTTAATTATAGTAGTACAGATTTCATAGCATAGATTTTTTTATGAAAGAATGTCAAATCCGATTTATGCTAACACTATGTTTGGATTATTGTTACCTATCGTTTTATAATGTATTGTACTGTACTGTATTGTATTATAATGTATCATTTTATGGATACAACGATTGGATAGATTGCATCTTTTGTTCTTGTTAAATAACATTTTTGTTGTTTGGTTTGACCGTATCGTACTGTACTGTAACTGATAAGTTTACTAAAATATCCTCAATTGTTTTAAATAAAATTTATCAAAAATTATGTATAAAAAAATAATTTAAGAAACCTCTTTCTACTAATTTATCATCAATTATGTAGCTTGGAAACAAGAGCAAAAACTTGAAGAAAAAAGTTAACTATCATTAGCAAAAAAAAAAAAAAAAAAAAAATCTAATACGATGAAAAGAGATAAAGAAACGAACAGAGATTTGGATGAAAAGAACGATACGAACCAACTTTGGAAAAGATGTACGTGGATAAAGTAGGTCAATAAGTTGGAGATTTGGAGTTAAAATAAAAAAAAAAGATAAAGGATAAAATAGAATTATGGAGTAATAACTAAGGGCATAATTGGAACAGAAAATACGAAATAATCTCACCACACCAAATCGGTTATTTAAAAAAATGGGGCTTTTGGTTGTTCCGAAATAATGAATTTAACAATACGATACAATCAATTTTAAATAAACAATCAAAACAAACATTATTTCCAGATAATAATACAATACGATACATTGGGTAACAATCATCGAAACAAGCTGTAAGGGTTAGAACTTAAAACCACAAGTTTTTAGTTTTAGTAAGTGATGTCCATAGCATTTACTAATTCTAAGTGGTTAGTGTATATGTTCATTATACTTGTGTGCAAAAATATGTGCTTATTAGTAGAAAATTTGCCGAATTTTTTCATACGGACATTTAAACTAATACTATTACTTATTAGACATATAAACTCAAGTTAAAATGTACTCATTAGATATGACTCCTTGACATGAAATATAGCGTGAATTTCGTTATAATTTTTTCAGATATTGTTTGTGAATCATCAAAACATAATTTCATGCTCAGATCAATACGTTTACTGGTAATTAAATTAACTGTTTTTCAGTAAAATACAATCTGATCACATTAAATGACGCTAATCTGAGCTCCAAACTTACATGGATCAACTTAACAAAATAATACAAGTGTTTAATATAAGTTAGAGTACTAACATTAGAAGTGTTTATACATTTGTTACTTGGCTTCTAGTTCTATTGCTCTGACCTTTCTGATAGAATTTGAAAAAAATCAATTATATGTAAATAATCATCTTTAACTATTTCAAGTCCGGCATCTTCATTCCAAGTAACTTAGCATTTCTATAAATCTCCTCGTATGTTTTCTTCTAATATTATCCTTGATATAGGTGCAATGTTAATGATAACACAATTATGACTAGGACGTAACACCCATTCCATTATAGGCTTTGAAAAAGGGATTCCATTATCCACTCCAAATGTCCCAAGTCCTCTCTTGTTAATGTGCTCAACTGATCTATGTGTTAACAATAGTTAACTCAACTTCAAATTATTAATTAAAACTTTTCACACATAAGATTGGATAGCCAATTTGACATCATATTTGTAAACATACAACTAAAATCTATCTATATAGAATAGGAGAAGTAAAGCCATATTATTGTGCCAAGTGTCACAACCAAATATCAACATGTGTAAAGTCTTAGGACCAAACTCCAATAAATTTGGAGATTAAAAAAAACTTAAAATAAGAAAAAAAAACTTACAAAATTTATTCACATCATGGAGTCCACGTTTTTGGACATTTATTTATTGAAACTGAAAACTAGAAAAAAATTACAACTACTCCAATTCCAAAAAATAGACTCCTATATTTTTTTTAGTTTTTAATTTATTATAAACCTAAATTCGCCAAAAAAATTTATACAAATTTTTTACATAGAGATAGGAAAAAAGAAAAACTAAAACGCTTCACGAGCGTCTAATCAGTTCAAAAAGAATTGACACCCACGTTGTTTTATTAGTTTTTTATTTAGTTTATTAAAACCTGAAAATTTGACAAAAAATAGAAAATTTTACAAACAGGAAGAAAAAAAAAGAAAAAAAAACTCCACGATCCCAAATACTCCACGATCGTCTTTGCAAACGTGGGTATCAAAACCTAACTCCATAACTTAAAAATTGTTTCCTACACTGATATTGTCCCAAACGTCTGCTCCTCCTTTTATTTTATTTTCCGTTCCCTTTTTTTTTTGCTCAAAATACACAACTTTACAAATATGGTTACAACACTTCATAAAATCAGTCAAATTTCAAGCAACTCAACAGAATCTCAAAGTTAGAGCCCTTCGAATGTGAGAAATTCCGGATCGTTTCAAGCCTGAAATACCAAATTTCATAGAGTTGATTTTACAAGATGCAAAGGTAACATATTCAACTTTACATAGTTTTAAAGTTTCTCTTCTTTGCTGGTTTAATGGATATATTTTCCACAATAAATTGTATTAATTAAACGATTATGTGTAGAACCGGTATTCTATTTCTGTTTCTGAAAGTTTATCATCTGAAAGTTTTTTTTAATTTCTTTAGGACGAGCATACAGAAGTTTTGCTTATATATGAAACAATTTTGTGTAGTACAAATATTACTCCATCTATTTCTTAAAGNTTAATTTTTATTAACTTCTAAATTTAACTATTTTTTCTCTAGCATTATTACATTCACGTTCTTTATCTACTCCCTTTTATTGTAAAAATTTATTCACGCTCAATGTTTTCTTTGAGGTATTCCTATTGAATGTACTTATTCTATTGTTGGTTTCTTATCAGGTGTCAGTTTGTGCAATGAATGATCTTTCGCAATAACATATTCAAGTACATGTCTCTCCTCATTAACATTAATTGGTGCACTTGATCTCAAGAAATTCTATTCCATGTTAAGATGTAAATGTTCGTTAGTCCTTTAAGACTCTTGGTGAAAACCGGTTCTTTTAAGTTCAGTGTGTGCTTCAGGTATGTGTCATTGGCATCTCTTTATTAATCTCGTGAAATGCTGCACCTGAATATATTGTCATTTAATGTTGTGATTTTAAGGTATAAGGGTGTAAAGACAGAATTTTGAATGATAAATTGTTTTTTTAAGGAGTTGCAATTTGAAGTTTGAAAATTTGATGCATTTACAATCTTTCTTTGTGTGGAGATGTTAAGAAGAACCGGTACCATGGAAAAGAGCTGCTTTTTTATGTATTCAAAAAGTTTCAGGGTTGAACTGGGAAGGCAGACTTTTAATAGGTTGAAGTATAAAAATATTTTTCTTAGACAGCAATTATTGATGGTTATGTGTTGAATGAAAATTTTGATGAAGCTTTGAAACTCTTTAAAGACATGTAAATGGAAGGTGTAGAACCCATCCAGCTTTTTATGAATGTTCAAACTCTGCAAAATCGAAATTCTTTCATGCTCCTTTATGTATACTGTATTTCTTTATGTATACGGTATTCCTGCGCAACGCGCGGGCACGAATACTAGTATTATTAAAAGGAGAGGAAAAAGCCTCCACATTAAGCCAAGTGGCAATCTCACGATAGACCACTAGGCAATTTGGGACAAAGTTAGGTTAGGTAATAATTAATTTTTTTTAATTTAAGTTATGCATTATATGTTGTTAATAATTTGTTACTATCTTTGAGTTAATAAATATTGAGTATTAAAATTATTCTAAAATAAAAACGAAAAAATAAGAAAAAAATCGCCAATTCAAATTGGGCAATAGTTTCTTTCTAATATGGTAATCTATATCTATAAAATACTAAAGAATATATTAGAAAATAGTTTTATTTTGAATTTAAGATAAAATACTATTTCAAATTACAGATAAAAATATTTGAGTTGAGATAAAATAAAAATTTATTTGCTTATGGCAAATAATGCAAAACTAATAATTATTAAAATATCAGTATATTTATGACAAAATACTAAAGTTACTTATCTATTTATATTTTAAAAAAATTCAGAATTATAATTAAATATGATAGTGTTTAAAGTATATGTAAACTTCAATGTGAAAAAGCTAATTGTAATATTACAGTAGGAAAAGTGTAAAAAGATGAAAATAGAGATAATATTAGGTTATTTTCACTTTGAATTAATTTATAAAAAAATTAAATAAATAATACACAAAGATATTATTGATAAATTTAGAAAATTGAAGTATTGTGTAAATGTCACGACCCCTAAATCCCAACCCGGTCGCGATGGCGCCTCTCGTGAAGATAAGGCCAGCCGACACACCTCCAATTCACTTTAAACAACTAAAACAATAACTACTAAGTCTTCAATCGGAAATAAAATCCCAAAATGAGCATTTAACAGTATAATTTGCGGAAATAAAAACAACCACAGCCTGACATCGGGGTGTCACTAGTCATGAGCATCTACTAAGGTCCAAATACAACTAGAGTAAAAAATGTACTAAATACAGTCTAATGAAATCGAGAGGGAGAAAATCAGTGCTGCGAACGTCGGGCAGCTACCTTGCAAAACTCCGATGACTCTGCCTCTGAGAAACCAATACCCGCTACCGGGTTCAGAAATACCTGAATCTGCACAAAAGGTGCAGGGAGTAAAGTGAGTACCTCCAACTCAGTGAGTAATAAAAATAAATGAAGACTGGGTGATAGGAAATCACGAAGAGTACATCAACATGCTGTATAGAAGCAGTACAAAACCAGTAAGAAAGCAATGAAGCTGTGAAATCTCTTAAGCACCTTAGCTCAGTTTAAACTTCTTCAAAAATGGCTTTCCAACAATTAAGCAATTGAATGCAAGCAATTAGAACAGATAAGCATAGAAGATCTGCCCCTCGGCGATAATTACACAATTAAACATGTACATGACAGGTAATT